TTTATAAAAGGAGGTGACTAACTTTGTACATTTATTTTATGTTATTGCTGGTTGGCGCGACTTGGATTGATTTTTAAAGATTGTAAAGTTTTCCCTATATCGATATTTTTTATCTCGATCATAAATCGTTTTGTTTAAACATATTATTATACACGTGTCATGGGTACCTACCTATATTAATAAATGTAATTTAATCCAATTTTATTACTTGAGATAGAAACGATTGACCCGCTACCATTCGATTTTGTTTTCAAATCTAGGTCACAATACTTTGATCTAATCCTGGATTTCCGAATTCAAAAAGTGTTTGCAACTTTGACTTAATAATAAAATTGTCAAAATTCCTCACAGTAGGTAAAACTAGTTCTATTAAAATCCCTTCTAAATAGTCCACAGTCCACAACCAATGCAGCAGAAAAGGTGTACTGTATCTAGATAAAGTCTGAATGGAAAGGTATCCGCGATAGACACGCTCCTATTAGCACAGCCAGCTATCCATCACTGGTGATCGGTATCAAGCAAGAAACTGTTGTAAAAATGAAGTAATTACGTAATTAGCTGGAGATTATGCAAGTGTGTGTAGGAGGTCCTATGTTAATACAATATAAGGTTTAAGTTCAAATGTTTGAGTTGCCTAATTGACAAATTTAGGTGCGTAACAGAATAATTTCAAAATAATTATCTTAGGGTAGAAATAAGGAAGATATCGGATAACTACATTGTGATGACCAACCCTGAGAAAGGTAATACTTCTGAATTGATAGGTTTCTGCACCTGGACGAATTGGATTATCTATCTATCAAGATTACAGTGGCCATTAAATGACAATTATGTGAATAGGACACATCATAGAGTTCCAAGAAAAAAGATCAATAGGTTTGTTGAATTGATCGTAAAAAGCTTTTATCTAATTTCATTATTTATTACGTTCTGTCTTCTTTCTATCGAGTTCCTATTGCGTTGGAAATGATAATAAGTGTTCTGTAATGATTCTTATAGATATTGAACAACTAGGCATATCCAAAAACAAGGACACACCGAAATATTATGTCAATGATATGCCAATAAGCGTAACTTTATCTGTTTATAGCCACGAGCTATTTTTGTAACAAATATCATTGCTGCTCTATTACATTGAGAAATATCACCTTTAATACATATTTACTCACGTAATAATCATGTTAACCTAAAATATGAACGACATTAGACTAATTTACATTATAATCTACTGTGAAATTGATATTAAGCTTTATGTCGTCAGGTTAGGTTACAAATTGGTATGTTGAATTAATTGTTATGTTTTGGTCCGCACTAGTGGTCCTATTGTGAAGCTGTCTCAATCAATCAATCGTAAGATAACGACGCTTTTCAACTGTCAGCAACTTGTTTTCAACTGGTTTTTATACGCCAATTTATGGTTCGTTAAGCCTATTCTATATTGCCGTGGTTTGAGTAAAGATTGACGTTTCTTCTATGGAGGTTTGGGGAATGAAAACCAAACAAAAACACGCAATTGGGATGATGACAGGGTATGAAAATTAATTAGACACGTATTTTTTTTTATTTTGTCGTATAATAAAACAATACTTAGATAAAACGAATTAAAGTTTAGAAGTGGGGGCTAAAACGTCAATTCTACGTATAAAATGTATGTACATAGAAATGTCAAGCGACATTTCAAATTAATATATCGTCGAAAGTATTCGATTCTGTAAGAAAATAAAAAATACGTGTCTAATGATTGAAAATAATCTACCAAACGGATATCAAAATAAAAATTAGGCATCTACCCTATTATGTCCACTGTGTTCACTGTGTTTATTTTGGTTAAGATTCCATTTGGTTAAGCTATGAATCGATGTTAAAGACCTGCTATTTTGGACAAAGCGTCACAAATTATCTAGACATTTTTGAATTTCATAACGTAATTCAATTATTATCCCGTTTCTTCTCAAAAAGTCTCACAGCTCCATTACCTAGTTATCTAGTTGTTACATTACAGTAGCTTATAACTTCTAACAGACTCAAATTGGTCATACATGCAGTTTGGTCTAGATAAACTAAGTCTAGGCACTCCTATATTGTGACATTGTGCTAAATTGAAACCTTTTTTTACCACCTGACTCATGTCGCTCACTTATTTGTATCTACTATATGTGTGTACAGTTTGTTTGTAAATAAAACAACTGAGGAAATCTGAACAGTTTGTAATCGTAATCGTAAAAACTATAATCAATGGAAATAAAATCAATTTGGTAGTTATCTAAATAACTGCAAACCAAGTTCATTGAGTGATATTGTGCTCATTTTAGAAAAGAAATACATTGCCTAAATGGGCCTGTAGAGGTTATTTACTTATGATCCTAACTATATCTTAAATATTAACGCTTTGATAATCTTATTTAACATAATTAAAATGTAAAATTACAACACATTCATTTATTTCATCTCCTTCGCTTCTGAAATACCTAACAGAGGATATTCAAACAAATGTCTTTTACCAATGTACTCGATCTAATGGAATTATACTTTGTTGACCTCTTCTATCTTAAACCAGTATCTAGATTTATTTATATACTTCTAGGCTCATAAATAAATCTGTATTACTAGACACTGGGCAGTGAATGACACAGTTTGGTTACCTACACAGTGACACGAACCACGATGCTGTCACTCCCGAGTTACGACATATTGCATTATACATTAAACCAATCATTTTTATCATATTATGTTATGTTATGACTCACTGTGTGATTGTGGAGTTAATTATTCAATTATATTGTTATTGTATAAGGATAGTCTAGTTTAGTGGCTTAGTTATCCAGTTATCGTATCAAGATTTCCTAATCTAGATCAGCTGTATGAGACTTGTACTGCGATAATGTGATGTAAGTTCAGTAATAGAGAGGTCTTATTGCATTGAGGTACGCTTTTATTGCATTCAGAAAACAAATCTTTCATCATGTCAGCCTTGTAGGTAGTAGACGGTCTTCGTGTTCCTTATCAGGACTGATTATCATTCTGCACTGGTTTGTTTATCAAAACCATAGCAGATACAAAAAGTAAGCCGGGGCTGGCCTAAGGCCAAAATCGAGCCTAGAATACAATAAATTAATTATCCACATTATAAGCAAAATGTATTAAAATTAAAAAAAACCTTAATTAAAATTAAAGTCAATATTTTTATGTTGATTTCATTTTATTACTTGTTGCGTCAACCATAATAAAAATAATGGTCCTCATAAATTACGCTAAATGGAGCAAATATAACTTTAATTGTTACAAACATAAGGACATTATTAAAATAACTGTACTTTCAAAAGGGCTGTTGCCCTTCAATAGAGACTACTTTCATTAATTAATGTCCTTTCGAATAACAAAAAGATAAAACTTTGGCAATGAAAAAAAAAACAGAAATAGACGTATTCAAATGTTTATTTATTTTATACTAGCTTCTGCCCGCGACTTCGTACGCGCAATCCCGTTTCTTCCATTCCCGTGGGATTTTCAGGACTTTTTTCTATCATAAAAACCTTTTCCTGACGATAACAAACACAACAAAAAAAATCAGCCAAATGGGTCTAGCCGTTCTCAAGTTATGACGTGACAACGGGAAACGGGTTTCATTTTTATATTATACTAGCTGACCCGGCAAACTTCGTACCGCCTAAAAATATTTTTCTCACCTTTTGAACCTCCCCTGGACTTCCACGAACATTTCAAGACCAAAATTAGCCAAATCGGTTCAGCCGTTCTCGAGTTTTAGCGAGACTAACGAACGGAAATTCATTTTTATTTATATAGATAATAAAGTCAAAGTCAAAGTCAAAGCATATTTCAATTAAACCATAGTTTGTACTTTTGAAACGTCAACAAATACAAAATAAATAATAGTCTGTCAGTCAGTCCGTCAGTGAAATTAGGTGAAGCTAGGTGCTCATTCCAAAACGTAGATTCGAATGGAGAAGAACGAGCAAGAAACTCCATTCGATAGATTTTAAAAGTAAGTAGGAACCTTGAAAAAGTGATTGATCGAGGCAAATCATTTAGGCACCTGCTAATTACGTATATTTTATAATAACTACAATTTAATAGCTAAGATTTTTGTACAAGTTCATGTAATTGTCGATAGCTGTCAGAAAGATAAATGGGAACAAAATCAGGACATTTTCGTGTCACTAAACGAGTTAGCAGTACTAAGTTAATAACGAATTTCCGGCCTATACATAATTTTATACGAATTTAATTGGACCGCCGTCCGTTTGATCTTATATCTGAAGTGACATGCGTGTACGCATGTGATTTATGTTCTGTCACAAAATATACCTAGATACGTTTATCAGGTCCTGCAATGAAATAGAAATAAGATAGAAGTATGAATGCATGTTGCACTATTTATATACAGATAAATATGTTATGGGATTTGATAGATATTATGGGTTAGAGTTTAAGCTTTCATAGTTATAAAGTCAGTAAATATTCTTTAGCCTTTTTCGATTTATCGCGGAGAATCTAACGGGTAACTGGGGTTCCGGCTCGACGTGCAGGAGAAGGAACGGGGTGGTTTTTAGTCAGTAAGAGTCTGACACTCCCTCCCGCCTCACCCAGCCAGGAGCAGTGATTCGATGATTTCCCCCCCTTAAAAAAAGCCTTTTTCGACTGTCTTTGTTCTTGATCATCTCCTTAATTTTTTTCCCCACTGACTTTCGAGCTTTAAAACGTTTTTCAATTCCAATAAACTAAATCACCTATAATATGACTAAAGTGACGGTTGGGCAATTGGCTGCCACGCAACGTGTCGCGGGTTCGATTCCCGCACGGTCTAACTTATTTTATGATCCACAAATTGAGGTCTCAGGTCCGGGTGTCATTGTGTATGTGAACTTGTATGTCTGTAAAAGCACCCACGACACAGGAGAAAATCCTATTGTGGGACAACGTCTAACAAAAAAATACAGTATAAAACAAACAAAAACTAATTTCGCCCTTCTTCATTCCAGGATCTTCGCAGCCTTCTTAAGTCGAAGCACGTACAAGGACTTGAGATCTACGATGCTCACAAGTCTCTCAACAGGACTAAGGTCCTGGAGACAGTCGAGGCAGCTCGTACTGCCATCAGCTCCTCAGGAGGTGGCCCATTATTCATGGCACTCCCTGCCCACCCTGAACTCTTGGCTAAGTACTACGACCTGAGAACGCTGGTGAAGAAGGTGGATCTTCTGATGGTGCAAACCCATGCTTTGGGTTTGGTGAAGAAGATGACCTACCATCCTAGTAGACTGAGCGGCATGTGGGACATGATGAACACTGTAAGTAATATTTTAGTTTTTCTATTTGAATATTAAGGTAGTTTGAGTATGTGTTTCGTAAGTTATTAAATGACCTGTATGAATGTGATCTTTGCGTATTGTTTAAAAAGGATTAATAAACTCTTTCAATAAAGAAGTGAAAGAAGAAAAAGTCTGCCTCGTTGGCCGAGTGTTTGCAAGTGCGACTGCCGGCAAGGGGTCTCGGGTTCCATTCCCGTGTCGGGCAAAGTATTACAGGGTTTTTAAAAATAATCTAAGTAGTAACACGGAGTGTAAAATAGTGCTCGGTATATGGCAATAGGCTTACCCCCTATTACATGGGACTCAAAACATAAATTGTAATAAATTAGTATTATGTTGTACAGTGGCATTTAGTGCCGTAATGTGCTACTCTGCTTACTCCTTCGGGGATAAAAGTGGTGATGTTATTGTGTTATGATAGACTCTTAAAGTTGCCTTTGTATTTTGTCTATTCTTTTATTCAAATCTGAATTGTAGATGACATCATTAATTGTAGCTAAAATAGATTTCATAATATGTTTCTGTAAAGCATCTTTTTAGTTAGATTTCCTTTTGTATCATGTTATTCAAAGAAATAATAAATTAATAATTTTCTATCTACATTGTTCAAACTACAAAACCTACTATAGAATTACATTAGATTACCTAACAATAGTTGTAAACAAAGCAATGACAGCACAATTTGTGAATAAACAAAGCTATGTCATAAGAAAGTAATTCAATATTTGTAATACAATACAATGGCGTTATATGAAATAGTGGATGATTGAATACTACTCCAATTGTGATTAAGAAATAGAATATTTGAATAGGATGTTATCTTAAAGACATTCATAATGTAACAAATGTCCGAATTATGATGCTTAACTTGTATTATTACCGACTTGTTGTAAGCATAACATAACATAACATCACGCCTTTTATCCCCGAAGGGGTAGGCAGAGGTGCACATTATGCCACTGTACAATGTAACACCCACTTTCCACTATTTATATTATGAGTCCCATGTAAATAGGGGGTGAGCCTATTGCCATATACCGGGCACAATTCCAGATTCCGTGCTACTACTGAGATTTTTTAAAACACCCAGTAATACTTTGCCCGACCCGGGAATCGAACCCGAGACCCCTTGCCCTGCAGTCGCACTTGCGACCACTCGGCCAACGAGGCAGTCAGTTTTTGTAAGCAAAGTTATTAAAACTGATATTTATAATCATGATGATTAACACTTAGACATGAATATTTTTTGTGTGTAAACACGTTACACTCCTGTGGTTATCGGTGACCGATGCCATGCACGTTAGCGGAGCATTTCCCTTCAACAGTTCTCTATTGGTAGTCGAAGACTTAATTCATGTTAATAGCGATAAACCAATTTCATTTTATGATATCATCATACATTGTTATATCTCTCATAAATCAGTACTATCTTAGCATTATCCATAGAGTCGTATGTTTGCCTCGTTGGCCTATGACTGCCTCGTTGGCCGAGTGGTCGCAAGTGCGACTGCCGGGCAAGCTAGGGGTCTCGGGGTCGGGCAAAGAATTACTGGATTTTTAAAAAAAGAGTAGTCTCAGTAGTAGCACTGATTCTGGAATTGTGCCCGGTATATGGCAATAGACTCACCCCTTATTACATGGGACTCATAACATAAATAGTGAAAAGTGCGTGTTAGCGTGTTACATTGTAACATTAAGTGCTGTAACGTGCATCTTTGCTGACCCCTTCGGGGGTATAAGGCATGATTTTATTAATGTTGTGTATCTAGGTTTGCAACAAAATTAATAGAAATAGATAATTATATTTTATCAACAAACACAACCTAATTAGAACGTCATAATTCAGTATGAACAGTAAATAATTCCCATCAATCTTCAGAACATAATCACCTGACAACTGTTTAATTGCCTACACGCATGCAATTTTAATAATTAGGAATCAATCATTCGTATAAACCGACTGTCCATCCATCACTTGTATTTCGGTCACGTATTAAACGCACTTCTGAAGGCTAACTGCATTTGAAAAAAAAAATACTAACAAACTTAGCAATGCATATAAAGAATCCTTGAGTTTTCAACATTAAGGTTGTTATTCCTTTGATTGGAAGGTAATGTAATGTTGGTTGAATTTGATCAATTTAGGCTATGTAGGGCAATTATAAGCAGGTGCATCTCTTTTGAGATTGACAACGGTGTGATTTGTATGTGTGTGTGTGTGTGTGTGTGTGGGCTGCTCGGTCTTATAAAAGGATGGATGGTACTTAATTAGAGCTTCGTTGTATTAATTTTATAGCTTTGTGACTGACTGCCATGTCGCGGTTAAAAGGCGTGTAATGGGACTAAGGTCGTTCGATGCAATACATTTTGTGTGAATGTAATCAATGTATGCGATGTTAATTATGCTATGCTTTATTAGTTTGATTAAGACTTTAAATTGTATACTTATTACAGAATTACTATTTAATAGTAGATAGTTTAGAGAAGTTTCTTTTTTTTATGGCATAAGCCGGTAAACGAGCAGACGGATCACCTGATGGTAATCAATCGGCGTCGCCCACGGACACCTTGAACACCAGAGGCGTTACAAGTGCGTTACCGGCCTTTTGAGGATTAGGAGTTTGAGGATCGATTCAGGAATTGGGAAGATTGGTGAAGGGGAAGGTAATTGGGCCTCCGGTAACCTCACTCACATGACGAAACACAACGTAAGCGTTGCTTCATGTCGGTTTTCTGTGAAGCCGTGGTATCACTCCGGTCGAGCCGGCCCATTCGTGCTGAAGCATGGCTATCCCACACTTAAAAAAAACCCTATTGAATCCTCGATTATATTTCTAGTAGAAACTTTCAAAATATGATTTTTATTTAATACAGCGTGCAATAAGCTTAATGCAGTAAGTCCGCCATTCACTGTCATCTTTTGTAAATAAGAAAAAAAAAAACAAATAAAAAAGGTACCAGTTATAGTAATATATATAATTTTCTTATTCATTTTACAGGACTCCGTAGTAGACCTCGTCATCGGTCTCGGCGTGCCATCGTCAAAGATTGTCATAAGTTTGCCAGCGACTGCTCGTCAGTTCACCCTGGTCAACGAAACCCTCAGTACTCCTGGCAGCCCCACAGAAGATGATGACCCTAAGGAAATCGACCAAGCTGAACTCTGTAGGCAGCTCAGATCAGGACGGTGGACCTTGGAACGAGACCAGGATTTGTCAGCGCCTTATGCTTTTAAGTGAGTGATTGTTATATTGTCAATAGAGTATTTGGTTTTCTGTAGGCGTTTTTGATTTGTGTCTATTATATTATATTTGCTTCAAAAATTAAATGGAAAACCAGATACACTAAATATATTTTAGCTTTCTATTCTGACTTTAATAATTATTTTACATTGATTAACGGACTAGCACTAATTATTAACACATAATGATCGATTATTCCGTTACTATCAAACGTAATCTGCTTAACAATATGAATTTAAATCAATTAACAAGTATTTTAAACGTTCTAGGAACAAAACCTGGATCTCCTTCGAGGACTCCTCCTCAATTGACGTGAAGGGCAAGTACGCCAGGGTCCGTGGCCTGGCTGGCCTGGCCCTGCACCAAGCTGAACGTGACGTGGAGTCAGCTTGTGGTCCCACTCTCAGAGCCTCACTCGCCAAGGTTCTCAACCAGCAGAGTCGAGCGCCCAGGGCTGCTGTACTAAGGTAAACGTCTTTTAAATTGTAATTTAAACTACTAAAACTCGTTAGCTACTGTGAAAAGAGATATGATCAGCTTGTCATACGTGTCTATCTATTGCTACTCCTATACATACCTCTACATATATCAGGATTTACACTAGAGCAATTAACTAACAAAGTTCCGAAAAATCTGAATTGTTTCAGAGTAGACACTAAAAGTTTTGTGAACTCATTTGCAGGTCATTAGAACACGAGATCCTGTCAGCTCCTGGTCATGTTCGCGCTCTGGACGCTCTGCAGGTTTCGCCCTACAGAATCACACAGGTCGTCGACTCTGACGGTGTCATACACTCCATTAGAGAGGTGGGCAGAACAGTTTAATATTAAATTCTTTATAGGTCGTAATTTAAAAACATGTAAAGAGAAATAATCTTGTTGTCTTCTCGCAATTGACTAAAATTTTAACAATATGTAAACGATGGTTACATTTGTAGCAAAAATAATGTTCATATTCATCGTTTCTAGTTTTAGCATAGCGCACCCTTTATATTTTCTCTGTAGGATTAACTATGAATGGATACAAAGACGCAGACACAAAGAAATGAAGATGGAGCTTAATGTCGTGCAACTGGAGCAGATCCAACTACATCCAGTAGTATATGGAAACGGCCGAAGATGATTGAATATATTATTTCCATTGTATTTAAACTGCGACTTTTCTCATTACAGGACACTCGCACTGAGTTCACTTGCTCTCGCCAAGGATACTTCGTGCATCCTCGCTCCTGCGCCCGCTTCTACCGCTGCGTCAAGTTTGATCAGCTTTCACCCGAATATACAGTTAGTAGATATTGCTGTCAAAACAATGAAATACTCGAAATACTGCACTGAGTAGTATCATGTCAGAATCTTGATCGGAAAATGCTATAACTTGTAAGGAGATTACAAAACTAACCAGGAACTTATACCTATCTGCTTTCATTTTTCTCCAAAGCAGCAATCAAAACAAAATGTCATAATAATATTATCAAAATCTATCTACTTATATGATCTATTTTTACCACACGTAAATTTTCTTTCCAGGTGTTCGAATTCGACTGTCCCGCGGGATTGGCTTTCGACAACCGCTACGAGGTGTGTGTATGGCCAGGCAGCCTGCCACACTCACAAGCCTGCCCTGGATCCTCTGAGATTGCTCCCGTACCAAAGACCAGATTCATCTGTCCTGAGCATGAAGGTAATAAGTCTTTATTATAGTGACAATTTAATGAGTCCTGGGAATTTAGTCTTTGCTAGTGTCAAACACAAAGTTTCTGTTTTGTGAATTGATTCAGATTGTATTGACTTCTTCTTTACAAATAAGCATCACTACAATCTTCTACTTAAAACCTATAAGAAGTAAGAAAGTTTTTCATATCATAATCTATATCCCATTGACAGTTTACTGCTGAACGATGTACCTCAACTATATGAGGGTCATAGTTTTATAGTTTCGAAGTTAATAACAACTTAAATATCTCTTCCAGGTTACTACGCTGACCCTGAGAACTGCCGCTGGTTCTTCGCGTGCCTGGATCATGGAAAGTCTCCCCTAACAGCATACGAGTTCCGTTGTCCTTTCGGTCTCGGATTCGACGCCGAGCGACTGAAGTGTGACTGGCCGTGGTTAGTACCAGCCTGCGGTAACATCGCCAGATATGAGGCTGAGACGTATGGGTTCTCTGCTGCTACTCTTACTGGTAAGTACAATATCAGAAATTTCTAATTTCATACAAACAAAAATTACTTATTAATTTATGCAACTTATAGTAAGGAAATTTATTTATTTATTTATTTATTTATTTACACACATAACATACAAATATCCTTACAGGCTAGACCCAATGCGATATTGCAGCAAATATTAAAATAACAATAATAAACAAAATACAAACAAGAAATATCCATATACTCTATAGAAATATAATACGATAAAGAATATATAATAAGCTTTTACTACATATAGCAAATCCTATGCATGGCTGCTCGTGTAAATTCTCCTAAAGAGCAACAGAATATGTCTACGTCATTAGCAATGAGGTTCAGAGTGCGAAGCGCACACGTGAGCGGTGCCTCCCTCAGCAAGTTAGTTCGCGAACGTGGTTCTGCCAGTAACCGCGTAAATTAGGTACAATGGTAAAAAGAGATTAAATTAATCAATTTATTCCCAGGTGCAGCAGGCTATCACGGTCAAACCGCAGATGCTATTAACGTAGCCGCCCACCAGAGCCTCATATCCGGCGCATCTCTCAACAACCATGTCGGCATCCAAGGAGGATTCCTCACCAGTGACGACGCATTGAACTCTAACTTCATCGCTTCTCAAGAACTAGCTAACGCTGGACATTCTTACGAAATAGGACATGGTTCTGCTCATATAGACAATGGCTTATCTTACCAAGTAGGTGACGCTGGATTTACCCATGCCGGTTTGGTCCAACCGACTCAATATAGAGAACAACCTCAATATTCCAGTGGTTCCATTATCTTGGATGACTACAGACTACCTACTAAAGAGGAATCTCAAAGGCAAGCTGCTCATAAAATTAACATTCATCAGAATATTAATTCTGAAAATGGATATCAGCAATCAGGACAAACTTCTGGCTATTCCACCCAGACCGGACACAGCACTGGATATGCAACTCATGGTTCCGGTCATGATGCGGGATACACCGTCCAGGCTGGAGGAAATACTGCTCAATACAATGGATACACGAGCTCCTATGCCACAGGAAACACTAAAAAGTACCAAAGTTCAAGTTACGATGACAATAATTCAGGAGCTTACATTCATGATCCTTCAGGAGACTACGCGGAGCCCTACAGACACATTGACTCACCTGTTGAACCCTACGTCCATGAAGATGCTGCTTACAAACAGTCTGGAGATTATTATGATTATGGAAAATATGCAGGATCATCTCAAAGCGGTTATGAAGGTAAATACACTGAAGATAACACTGGAAAATATGTTCAGGATAATTCTGGAGCATACGTGGAAGCAAATATTGGAAGTGGTAACAAAGGAGGCTATTCGTCTGGGTACTCTATTGGTTATAACGCTGATAACTCTGGAGCATACAAACACGACAATTCTGGACAATATGAAGCTGGAGTATACAGAGCGGATGGCCACATCGGTGAAGGTAAAGCTACGAATCAATTTAATTTCCAACAATACCACGGATACAGCGAAGCGAATGCTGGAAACTACATCAGTGACTCTAAGGCTTACACTGGTTTATCTCACACTTTAACCGCAGGAGCTATCAATGTTGGATTAGTTGGTAAGACAACACTGATCGACGCTGATTATAACGACCAAGTGAATTACTATGCAACGGATTCTAAAACCTCAGGTGAAGGCAACTATCAAGGATCAAAATCTTACAGTCACTCTACGCAAACATTACACCCGGCTCATGTTTCATTGGTGTCTCAACCAGCTGTTGCCATAAACCATGTTGGCACTGATGGTAACAACCTTGACGGATACAGCTACGTGACAACTCCAACTTCTTCTGGAGTCCCAACCACTGCCACTCCATTCGCAGTTACAACATCGATCCCAACGGTGACGTATAAAACTACCTTCGTTCCCGAAGCTCCTAAGACAAGCGTTAAGCAAATATTTGGTGTTTCTCAACCATCTGTAACCTATGTGCAGCCAACAGCGATCGCTGTCAAACAAGTCACTCCTCAGGTAATTGTTACTGATCACAATCAAGGTGTAAACTTCCAACATGAAAGCAAAGATTACTCGGGCAGTTACAACAGTGAAACGAAAGTTGATTCTGGTTACGAATATTCTAAACCTAGCATTAAGTTTGAAGATGGTATCTCCTACACTACTGCAGCGCCAGCTATTTCTGTATCTACGTACCAACCCGAAAGTGTTAGCCATAATAAACAAACCGTTCATAATGTTGAATCTGTCGGCTTTGGTTATTCCACTCCTACACCCGTTTATGAAGAGCCTTTCAAGAAGGTCGTAGCTTATACAACTGGACCATCAGTATCTACATATTCTCAACCAACTGCTGCCACGTACACCCCGCAGTCGTTCAGTCATCAGACTATCCATAAAGTAGAAGCTAGCAAAGTTTATACTCCCTCTGTTGAATCTGCATCAATTGAAACTGGTTATGACTACTCAAAATCTGGAGTCACTTTCGAGGAACCTAAAGTGGTTCAGTACACGACAGCACAACCGGCACTGGCAGTTCAGCCTATTGTATCAACGTACCAGCCACAAGTTATTAGTCACCAAACTCTTCACAAAGTGGACGCAAACCTTGTCAACACCTACTCTGGAGAATCTTCGTCAGGAATATCAGGATACACTTACGAGCAACCTTCTATTAAATTTGAGGAAGTAAATAACGTGTACTCAACTCCTGCACCGATCGTCTCTTCAACATACAGTCCTAAGGTATTCAGTCACCAGACTATCCACAAAGAAACTAATCAGTATGTGCCAGTGTCAACCACACCTAAGTATGAAGTTAGCTACCAATCGACTCCAGTCACAGTTTACGAAAACCCGATCATCAAATATACGCAGAAGGCAACACCTGTTGCTTTCGTCGAACCTGCTTATAAATCTCAATCATTCAGCCAGCAAACAATATACAAGGTGGAAGACAACAAATCTTACAACATCGATTCGGGATATGAATACTCTAAGCCTGCAGTAGCTGTGAATGAACAAGTTCGTTACACCACAGTGAAACCTTCCGTTTCAACCTACGAACCTCAAGAATTCGGTCAAACCTTGCACACCGTCGATGTTAGTCAAGTTCAGACATACAACCAAGGAGATGGTTACGTGTACAACAAGCCCGCTGTGAAATTCGTGGAGGAACCTAAAGCTGTATTCCAATACTCTACTCCATCGCCAATTGTGTCTTCTACATACAGACCACAGACGTATAGTCATCAAACTATTCATAAGGTGGAAAGCCAAAACTATGTTCCAGTTTCTTCCACACCTGCTCCTAAAGTTGAATTATCTTACCAACAAGCCGTTTCAACATATGAAAATCCAATTCTTAAGTATACACAGAAGGAGACTCCAGTAACGTACGTACAGCCCACAGCGGCAGTGTATACGCAGACGTACAAGCCAGTCATTCAGCAACACGAAGTGAAACACATTGTCAGCCAGCCTGTACAATACGAACAACAGCAGGTACACTTCAGTCAAGAAGGATATTCGTATAGCCAGCCCGAAATCCAAAGAAACATCGAGTCCAAGGGTTATTCTGACGCGAGTGCAGTATCTCACCAAGTCTATCATCAATCCAATGTAAACCACAATTACAATTCTGGTAAAGATATTGTACATGTGACGACTTCACCTGCGACTCTTATCTACGAGAATCATTACGCTGATATTGAGTCACCAAAAGTAGAAACGTATCAGGCTCCTGAGTACATTCCACCAAAGAATGGCTACAAATCTTACTCAGTTTCTACCGCTTCAGCACCTGTTGTCCATCAGAGCTCTATCATTCATCAAACTCAAGGATACGTAGCTCCTAAAGTAGAATACCAATCATACTCCATTGGATCGACAGCCTCCACACCCACCGTTCAACAGAACTCAGTTGTTCACTCGGGTCAGGAGTATGACACTTCAAAGACGAATTACAAATCTTATTCTGTCAGTTCAACTGCATCAGCCCCAGTTGTTCACCAAAGCTCTGTAATTCACAAAGCTCAAGAATACGTATCTCCTCAGACTTATTCTGTATCTACAGAGTCAACTCCGATTGATCAACAAAGCGCTGTCTTCTACCAAAGTCAAGACAACTACGATTACTCACAACAGTACGAAAGTGCTCAAGATATAGTGCCAGCAGTACACCAACATTCTTTCAGCACATCTCATATTGAACAGCCACAGAAAGTAGAGTCCATTCACATTTCCTTCCCTAGCTCCACGGTTTCACCCGCCTATCAGCAGGTTGAATATCAAGCTCCTGAGATCCAAGTAGTCTCAAAGGGTGAAGAATATTTACCTCCCGTAGTATCTACAAGCGCACCTGTTGTAAAATCGACTTACAGACCTAGAACTTACTCCACTGTTTCTACAACTCGGGAGTATCTGCCACCAGCAGAACCCAAATATGAATACCTGCCACCTTCTACCACTGCTAGACCCATCATCAAGTCCACTACACCAGCCTACAGAGCAGAATCTACGACATCTTACAAAGCTTCAGAATATTTACCTCCTGTAGAGAATACTGAATCTAAACTAGTTAATTTCGAAAGTTTTGGTTTCAATGAGGCGAGTGCTGACTCAAAGATTCAATACAATCCATATCAAGAAATTTCTATATCCCATAATGCTGCTCCTGTAGAAAGAAAACATAACATCGTGGTAGAAACAGCTAAGTCTCATTTACTTGGTTTCGGGACAGTCGGGCCTGACGCTGGGTTAGTGTCCCCAGTTACTTATACGACATCTGCTCCAGTTGTGTCCTCTACATATAAACAGAGAGTAAAATCAACAGCTAGGCCGGCGTATAAATACAGCACCACCACTGAGTACCAGGCTCCAGAATACTTGCCACCTTCAGATGATTCGGAATCTGAAGTCAACTATGAAAGTTTCAAATACAACGAACAACAATCTGATATTAAATTCAATCCATATCAAGAAGTTACTGTGTCATCCACCTCAGCTCCAGTTCAAAGGAAACAAAACATTGTGATTCAAACAGCTAAATCACAACAACAAGGATTCGGCACGGTAGGCTCTGATGCTGGACTCGTTGCTCCTGTCTCATACACAACCTCGGCACCAATTGTTGTATCCAGCACCGAATCTTACTCGTACTCGCCGAAGACAGTTACGTCTACATACGCCCCCATTGAGCAAGGTTTATTCGAAGTTGTATCGCCCGCATTACCCGCAAGAAGAACAAAACCTAAAGTAGCCGTTGTAACAAAAATCAATGATTTCAACCCCTTCCTCGTCCGTAAACTAGGAGCTGTGTGTAGCTGCCAGTCCCCAGTTTTAATATTGAAAGGAAAGAGGCCAACTCAGGCTCCTCAGGATCTTGGTGACTACAATGACTACGAAAGTGCTCAACGCGGAGATATTGGCGAAGAAGGTTACGGTGACAGATATAGTAAATTACAATCACAAGTAGATGCGGTTGCCACCGCCGCTCCAATTGTATCCTCCACGTTTAACCCCATAATTGTTCCCGATGATTCCTTCTATCAAGACTATCAGGAGCAGAGCGGATATAATGTAGCTGTTACGCCTAAGCCTAAGACAGTATATTCTGAAAATTATGTATCAAGTACACCCACCGTGGTTTCGTCCACAGAAAAGTATATTAGAGTTAGACCTCGCGTTAAGGCTGTTACTGTTGCTCCAACATACAAAACTGTGTTGTTGAATCAAGAAGTTACACCAACTATAATTGCTAAAGACGAATCTATTTCTGGATCTGCGATCGATTCTCAAGCCTTTGACCGATACGGTCCTGGTGGATGGCGAAGCAGAGACGAGACGTTGCAAGGTTCGGTCGACTGTCAGCGAGCTGGTTTGTTCAGACACCCGAAACAGTGCAACAAGTTCTACGCGTGTAGATGGGACTGCACCAAACAGAGGTTCACGCTTCATGTGTTCAACTGTCCAGTGCAATTGAGCTTCGACCCCAGCATAGGCGCATGTAACTGGCCCAGTCAGGGCCCCGCGTGCCAGGGAGACACACTCCTTACCAACGTTCTATAAGTACCTTAACATAGTTGCCAATCTCGTCGTGCCATCGAAATTGTGATAAAAATGTGATCACGAATTTTCCATAACTCTCTCCTCGAAACAGTTGGACGATTTGTCTCTCTCTTGTTTAAGTTGCTTATTTATTTGTTCGGTTTTGTTAATGTTATTTCATAGTTATTTATTGCATAATCATTTTTCAGCTTGAAGCTTACTAATGCTAAGCCTAGTGAATTTTCATTATTGGAATTAGAGTTACCATTATCTAGTTCATGTTATTGTAAAATAGTGAAGTCATATTTTTGTATTTTTATAAATTAATATAGAAATAATACGCTGTAATTTGTAAATATATGATTTTATTCAATGAACATCTTGTTTATTATTTAACAATGTTTAATACGTGTTATTTTAAAAGGATGAAAACGGTTTAAATCATCAATGCGACAGGTTTAGCTACTTCAGCTAGAGACTGTTTGTACTTGTTAAGTATGGGGTTGACTTCCTCTTCGATAAACTCAGTCACTTGTTCTGGAGCTCTACCAATAAATGTAGATGCATCCAGAATCTTATCCAGTTGCGATAAAATAGGAGCAAAGTAGCTGTCGTTCTTTACACGTTCGATCAAATCATTATCTTTTCCATGTTGCTTCACTTGAGCACCAGCTTCGTGCGACAGTACTCTTATTTTCTCATGACATACTTGACGATCACCACCAGCCTGGACCATAGCCATAATAATATTCTCAGTGGCCATGAAAGGCAGCTCCTGAGCGATATGACGAGCAATTACTTTAGGATACACGACCAATCCCTGGCAGATGTTGAGCAGGGTCAGTAAAGTGGCATCTGCTGTTAGGAAGCCTTCAGCGAGAGTAATTCGGCGGTTCGCAGAATCATCAAGAGTACGTTCAAGCCACTGTACAGCATGGGTATTAGCAGCATTAGCATGTAGAGTAATGAGGTGGCGGGCAAGAGCGCAACAGCGTTCCGACCTCATTGGGTTTCTTTTGTAGGGCATAGCACTGGAACCAATCTGGGAGGCTTCAAATGGCTCCTCTAGCTCCTTGCGTGAAGCTAACAGACGAATGTCAGAGCACATTTTATGGACGGTAGCTCCAAGTCCAGACAAAGCAGCAATTACTTCCAAATCAACTTTTCTTGAATATGTTTGTCCGGTGACAATGTACCGCTTGTCGAAGCCGGCAAGTTCAGCGACTCTTTTATCGAGAGCTCGAACTTTTTCGCCATCTCCTTTGAACAGTTGTAGGAAGGAGGCTTGAGTACCTGTAGTTCCCTTAACTCCTCTGAAGCGGAGGTCCTCTCTGGCGCGCGAGAGGGCACGCTCATCCATAAGCAAGTCGCTTAGCCAGAGAGAAGCTCTCTTACCGACAGTTGTCAGTTGAGCTGGTTGCAGGTGGGTGAATCCGAGAATTGGGATCGACCTGAAATTAGTAGAATTAAACATTAGTTCAAATAATCTATTTCAAGAAATAAGGTTTTAAACGAATGGACTGCTGCATTGTATATTTTTTTAGACAGTAAAGTTGTAAAATGTTTGTATTGTCGTCGTACAACTTTGACAATACTTAATCAACGTAGAGGCTAATACTTTATAATAAGGTATAAATTTATAGACTTTAATAAATCACTTAACGAACGTCCATGAATTTTCAATGGAAATAATTTCATTATAGATTAGGTCTCACATTATTTAGCCATACGCAATTAATCAGGAAGTAGTTCCAATTAATAAGATATTCTAACGTATGAGTCTGTCAGGAGCTATAGACTAGTTCGTACATTATAAACAGTGGTTAACGATTATTGCTTATTGTCCCAAGTTATTTATTGTATGCTAATCACATCTGTTGTAATCGATGCGACGATGTTTGAAGTCCTAATCTGTTTAGCTGTTGTAGCGTAACTTTTGGTACTCATACAATCGCGTTTTTAGTTTACATCTGGATATAACTAACAGACTAACTGACTGCTTTATGCTACTGGGTACTTTGTTTGTACTGAACCAAAAGTTTATCTCAGTCGAAATTGACCAGACAAATACTACTAAATAAGGTAGAATTTTTGAACTTACTTGTACTTATCAGCAAATTGGGAGAGTTGGCTGATGATGGCTGCCAACCTCGGCAGTAGAAGGTCCAGGCCATGCCTCAACACGATGAGATCCGTGTTGTCTCCCACGTAGCACGAGGTGGCTCCTAGATGAATGATAGGAGCTGCTTTGGGGCACCTTTCGGCGAGGGTGTGGACGTGAGCCATGACGTCATGACGGACCATCTTCTCATGTTCTGCTGCTGATTTGAAGTCGATATCGTGGATGGCAGATTCCAGCTCCGCGATCTGCTCATCGGTGATGTCTAGGCCGAGTTCCTGAAATGAGCAATAAGAAGGATTAAAGCTTAAGAAGAAATGTGAGTGAAATATTCATCTAAATTGTAAGAGTTATTATTTATGGCCAGTTTTCTACTTCAGTTTTCATTAGGTACAGCTGAATGAGTAATATCTCCTCTGCTTTGTTGACCAGGTCAAACAATGCATGTCTCAATACGTTTTCCTCCTTACTTTATAGGTAAAATAAAAACAGCACTAACTCTAAGTAATGGCGCCATAAAGTGATCTAATATGTTATTTTTGTTACGAAACCTTGGTCTAATTGTGTCGATCAAGTCATTGCAGGTTTTATTAAGAATTTGAATTAAAAACAAATCTATTTTAATGCCTAAATAGGAGAAGCTTATTTCATTCATGAAATCATAAGTGAATACATGGATGAGACATAGTAAACAATATGCTGTGGTTAAATATCATCTGTTTAGTTTTTATTTGGAAAGGAACAGTTTTTCTATTTAAATTTACTTCGGTCTTATAAACTTTTCAGGATCTTACTATCAGAAGAATGAATCGTGTTCCCACGAATTTAAGAGTGGAAATCCATTCATATGCTATAACTGAGGTAGGAGCTTCTCCAGTCCTGTCATTGTCTAAAGATGGCGTCTTAAATTATAGGTACTGATGATTGTAACCATTGAAAAATAAAGTACACTATACCTAATAATTCTGAATGTAACTCCATGATATAATAATTCTGGTGCGCTGTGGTTTGTGGTTGACTGAGTGATTGATGATCATCGTCTTTGTTTTCGAGAAAATTGTTTTTTGTGCTTGTAACCTAGTAAGTATTGATAGGTTCATATTTATTTTCAGCCCCATGACCAGTCTTGTCTGAATGAAGTTCAAAACTTTAATATAATAAATCCTTTGAATATAAATAAGTTTTGAAGCAGTAGGTCCACTGAATTCCATATATTTCTACAGCCACTTAGCATGTTTATAAAAATAGACATAGGATAAGAATATGAGTTAAATATAGGATAAGAAGAATGATAATTATGTGATGAAAATTATATTTGACTAGCAACCCGCCCCGGCTTCTCACGGGTGCAATATGCATGTATTATACATATAACCTTCCTCTTGAATTACTCTATCTATTACAAAACCGCATCAAAATCCGTTGCGTAGTTTCAAAGATTTAAGCATACAAAGGGACATAGGGACAGAGAAAGCGACTTTGTTCTATTATACTATGTAGTGATTTTATGTAACTATACCTCAACAGAATTTCGAGTGCCCTTTAAGAATCGTTCGGGTTAAAACTGTAATACTGAAGATCTTCCCTTGAGTCCCTTTATAAATAAATAGGTATGGAATAAAATTCTATGACATACAGTACGAATTGCACAACTTGATTCCCCTAGTCTTTTTCATCACCGTACCACAAGACAATCGGCGAAGCGTCACCGATTCATGGTAGATGTTCCGCCCACACGCACGAAGCGCTTCGCTTCAAGCTTCCTTGTGCGTACTGCTAAAGAGTGGAATTCTTTGCCAGAGTCTGTATTTCCTGAAGGGTATAACCTGGGAGTCTTCAAGGCCCGAGTGAATAGGTTGCTTATGGGACGACGTGCTACATCGTAGACCGCATCATCGCTTACCACCAGGCGAGATAGTGGTCAAACGTCGCCCCATCAAATATAAAAAAACACAGTGAGCTAAAAGGCCTGACTAAATGAGATAGAAACTATTTACTTTAAATACGCATTATAATTACTTAGTACATTGAATCTTGTTATCAACACCTGCAAGTCTTACAAGTACAGATAATGCGTCACGCTTCGTTTTAAGGCATCCGGAAGGTGTTTACGAAACAGAAATGTTTCCCAACTCTAGTTCAGTGGTTCTCAACCATTTTGGTCTTTCGCAAGAACCCTTTGTCTTGTGGATACAGTTTTTAGGGTTCCGTACACAAAGGGTAAAAAAGGGAACCCTATTGCTAAGACTCCGCTGTTCGTCCGTCTATCTGTCTGTCACTAGGCTGTATCTCATGTACTGTGAGAGCTAGACAGTTAAAACGAAAGATGATGTATCAAATACTTGATTTGACGTTTAGTCTCACCCCCTATTATATGGGACTCATAACATTAAAGTGAAAAGTGGGTGTTACATTGTACAGTGCACCTCTACCCCTTCAGGGATAAAAATGTGTTATGTTATGATGTATTTGGTGCTTCTTTAAAGGGCTTCCGTGAAAGTTAATTTTAATGTCGATTAGTGCTCGAATGGATACTTAAACGGAAGAATGGCACGGAACCCTTCGTGCGCGAGTCCAACTAGCAATTTGCTAGTTTTTGTTGAAAATGAGAGTTTCTTATTTAGGACATTGACTTTAATACATTTCCAACCTTCAATGTGTCACGGTTGTCAGTTAATGAGCTGTTGACCAATTAATTAATTATTGCAATTTGAGTTGCGCACGAGTGGTGCGGTGGTCTCAAATTAAATACAAACGCCTTGTCAATTTACACTCACGTTTGATGTTTTTTATTCTTGTTTACCTATTTATTGCATTTTTTATGTTTATGACCATAAAAAATATGTAGTGACCAGATTGGCGATATATTAAAGAAGGGCTAAATTAAAAGTACATACTCTTAACCGACGAGCATGCATGAAAAGATTGATGACTGTTGATGAAGCGAAAGAAGTATGTGGGAATCGTAGTAATTGGCGTCTCTGCCTACACCCATGGGAGACAGGCGTGAAGTTATGTATGTATGTATGTTTGTGAAATATCTTCAAGTTGCAGTTAATTTATACATATAGGTATTAGGTACTGTTAGGTACACAAGCAATGCTTGTAATGTAACTTGCTTTACAGGGGGATAATAATTAAGGAAAAAGTTTCCTCTATTGTTTTGCTTCGTGTAGGTCACGTAGGGTAAGCAGTATGTGATGAATCGATGCACAAGTAATTACATTTCAAAGACACACTTGTATCTCGCTAGCGATCTATTTAAAGGAAAATAAAATTGTCTACATTGATGATAGTTAATTCGATGATGTTATGTCGTTTCATTTGTTATTAGACTATTAAGGAAATGGACATGCATATTTTATTACTTCCATGATATTTGTTCATTTACTTCCCTGCACGCACGGGCACTATTAAATGTCCTAGAGGTACTGAGCAAAGAACATGGCGTCAACCAGTTGGTATTTTCCCGCGCAAATTATAAAATCAATAATGGAGAATTGCTTATAAAGAAATTCCAGTAACTGTAGCATTTGCATTTAATTGACACGTTTCGTGCTATGTTGATGGTGCTACTCTAGAAGAAATAAAAATGAACGTTAGTAAAAGAAAATAATACTAACAAATATCAAAGAAACACAATTGATTCACGCTCATTGTATCACAAAAAATAGAATAGTAGCCTAAAATGTTGATAACAGCTTAGATCAACAACGAAAAATAGGAGATAATACAAAAATAATATCTAAAAATACTACAATAAGATCACATTTCAAACAGCAGGTGTGAAGGTACTGCAACCTGCCCTACTAATTCGCTGGAGATAAGATTAGAAGTCGAATGTGCTGATAAAGTCATACAAAAAGATAACTAGAGCCATACAGTGACGGGCAACGTTTTGGCGAAAACGGACACAAAGACAAAAGAAGTGTAAATATAAATTACTATTGTGGTGAATACTGAGTGCAAGTGACAATGGTGTCGGTGCAAACTATCGCGACGATCGTCGTGAAGACATTCAAAATTGTAAGTACAATCACTGACTATTCTTTGAAAGAATGTATGTCACCACACACGGTATTAAGGTGCGGCACCGATATTTAGTCTCTTTAATTCATGGATGGAATGTAACTATTGTTATCCATTAGGATGATTACAATATATGTATAAATCAATAGTTGAATATTAAAAACATGAAAGTATAGATGACGAAGCTAGAAAAAAAAATTGGTCTGCTACAATGTGCATGGTTAAAGCCAGTTAAGTAGTTCATTTTCTGTATTAGGAAAATCTTTATAAATACGCCAAAGAAATTGAAAGAACAAGAAGAGAGTTTATTTCAAGGGTCTGTAGGTACGTATGCAAACAATGTATCATTAGGTCCATCTTTAACAAAATGTACTATGAGATATTACGGTACGGGTCAATAGTACAGTCACGTTTGCCTTGACAGAACAACTCGCCATGCCTACTTACTTGATAAAGAATAAACTAAAATAATAATTAATTGTAAAAGGGGTCATTATTCTAAGAACAAAGAACATGATTCATTTAAAATAAACTTTAAACTGGAATATTTACTAAGGATTAAAGAAAAATTAAATAATATCAATTTTAGTCTACAATTATGTACTGAGTGATGTCATGTTACTGATAAAAATACAAGTATAGAAATATATCTATCGAATGATGTTTGCGGACAATTATGTTGAGGAAAACAAATTAATAAACACATTTTCATTGAAGAAAAATCAATCAAACTAGATTACGAGGAAACTGCTAAAGAAGTTGACGAACATGGAGTGGTAGGAAGTATAGTACACACATCAGTTGGTCCGTATAGTTTAGGAATAATACTTGCTCGAAAATCGATTTTTTGGCAGAGCATAAGGAAATTTTGAAAAAGATGTTTGAAATGAGAATTGGAAGCGTGAAACATCAACATCGAAGGCATAAGAAGAGAAATATCTAGTTAAAACTACTAGTTATATTATTAACAAGCAAGAGTACAATAATTGAAGTAGAATAAATAACATAGTTGTATAATGAACAAGTAATTTATCCAGTAAGACGGACCTATTGATAAGAAAAGAACCTGCGAAATATATAGAAACCTGGCTCATAAATACAGTTAAAAGAACGTCACCAGCAGTAAATTCTTTACAATTTGTTAATTTCTGTGCATCTACGCTAAGGTTAATCGGCCCTAGCGGCCTCATTTCCTATCAAGCTGATAACGAGATAGCCACACCTACTTGATACAGAGCTAACTCATACTTTAATTAAAGTACTTACTACATTCATTTGATCGTGGTTGACAGGAGTATTGTAAATGATCTTGTGCTTTCTAGTTGATTTCTTTGTCTTCATCTTTATTGGTATCAACTTTAAGATCAATTTGATTCAGCAATAATGCAAATTCGACTACATTTGTTTTTTTAATTCAGTGAAGTATTTTTCTTTTGCTATAATTCCCAAATACTACTACTGCCACCTTGAATTGAATTTCTTAAATTAGACGAATTAGCACTAGCTGGATTGCTTGATTTTACATCGGAATTAACACACAGTTTCCTTGAAACGTTCTAATTATCTTTGAGCTCTTCATTTGATTGTTTATGATTAGCTATTACAAATTTTGTTTTGTCTTCTTTAACGCATAGATCATCATTAACATTGACATGTACTTTAACTTTGTTATTTACTATGCGAGTAAAACCTTATTGCCAATTTGCCAATTACACCACCCAATAAAGGCACATAATCATGGTAATGATGTTTGCTTGTTACATTACAATATACCTAAGGGTTCAGAGTCGTGGAGAATCTAACGGGTAACCGGGGCTCCGGCTCGACGTGCAGGAGAAGGAACGGGGTGGTTTTTAGTCAGTAAGAGTCTGACACTCCCTTCCGCCTCACCCAGGCGGGATGTCATATCAGTCATTCGATGATTTTCCCCCCTTAAAAAAAAAAGGGTTCCAACTAATTGTAAAGCTAAGTCATCATTCTCGTGTTCCTCCTACTCAGTTTGTGGTCCTTGGTCCTCCAACCGCAGAGCACATTGCAAAACAGTAGAACAAACAAATTTATCAGATAACGCTTTACTCACCACACAGCTAAAGGTACATTAGAGTACCAATGAGTAATACCATGAGTAACAAGTGCTTGGCTAGTTTCAATGAAGTAATAACTCGGGATGGTTTTGGACCATAACGATTGAAATGAGTCAGTTTGCCTTTTGAGGGAATAACAGAAGCCATACGTATAGGACAGAGTTTATTGTTATATGTATCTTTTGGATGATTGGAATTGTTTTCATGAGAAAACTTATTATTAACAGTTCCTAAATAAATGTAGAGGATAAATAATGCATGGTGGCCCGGAGGTTTAAGACGCCCGCTTCTAGTACATGATACTGCGGGTTTAAAACCAACGACAAGTACCAATGTGACTTTCAGAGTCATATGCACTTTTTAAGATTATTTAGACACAACTGACAAACGGTGAAGGAAAACATTGTGAGGAAACCTGGGCTTATAATTTATAATTATATGTGGAATTTCCAACTCGCATTGAGCAAGCGTGGTGGTTAATGCTCAAACCTTCTCCGTGTGAGAAGAGGCTTTGCTCAGCAGTGGGCATTTATAGGCTGTTGATGATGATAATGATGATGATGATGATGATGATAAATAATTAAATCTAAGAAAGGTTATTTCTCTAGTGCTTATTTATTTCTTTGAGGGAAGTCAAGCGAATGATTGAAACTACGTTCTTAAACAGCGTTACAAGAGCATTGTATTGGTATCTCTTCTACTTATTCGAATGTAAGCACACGCATTTTCTAGCTCACATTACAGATGCATGACATCTCGATCAACTCGCGCGCATACAATGGCTCTCCCAGGCGACGTGGACAATCAAAACGTACGCTATTTACCTTGAATGCGCCCATTATGTGCCACATTATGTACGTGATCGATCCGCTCCGTGACTTCTGAGTATTCAAGTACTATAATACGTTCCCGATTGTTGATTTAGAAATTCATAATTTCTGGTATCGTTTACTTCTGCTTGTTGCAATTTGGTTTTATAAGAAGCTAGTGAGAGTTATTCTAATCTAAGATAAAGTTGCGTTTTCAATTATAGATGGAAAATACCATACTTATGAAGCCTCCTCATTATTCGGTAGTTAAAAAGGAGGTAGAAAACTAATATTTAGACCTAGGGGGCTTACTGTTGAATCCAATTCCGATCGATTCAAATTAGTATTGTAAAATTTCGTACTCTTGAGTTGCAACACTAGCGCCCATTGCATCCGTATTGCGTGGATTTTTAATGAACTAAATGGTATTGAATTTGGCTTTATATTCTGAATGCTATTTTAACAGCTACGATAGCGGTTGTTTTATTATTGAGATTTTATTGGATTTAAATCGCATTGACATTGAGATTGGTTTCAAGAGTAAGCACCCTGTAACTACTTCGTTAGAAGCTTATCATAATCTACACCAACCTATCTAACCACCAACTCACAACCAAAGCTACAATTACTACTTATTTCATAATTTCTTTTTGATAAAAAATTGTTTCACTTGCTTCGAATGACAGCGACATATATTCATTTTAAACACTAATTCGCCGGACAGCTGTAACTAATTAAGCATCATCTTCAGCACAAAATATAAATGAATCACAATTGACACCATGATGAAACTGATTAAAATCACCACAATAATTGTTTTGATTTCAAAGTAAGTTGGAATTATTTAGGATCCTTCCTGTGACGTCATTAATGCAGTTATTGCTTATTGGTCGTAATTGGCAGCTGTAGAGAGTAGCTGATAAACATGTGCAGGATGTTTGCAGCGGTAATTAGACGGTGACAGGAAGAGATGGACAGTAGACTTGCTATGGGCTGAGAAAATTTTGTATTGAAGTTTGACCCTTATTGCCTAGTACTCGAAACTGTTTAAGATGTCATTGTTCCTTAGTCTTCATGGAATGAATGGTTTCAATATCTGTTTGATTGCTTGTCTTGTTTAAGATTTTTTTTTTATATAATTGATGGGCCGACGTTTCTCCACTATCTCGCCTGGTGGTAAGCGATGATGCGGTCTACGACGGATGAAGTCATAAGCAACCTATTCACTCGGGCCTTAAAGACACCCTGGTTATACCAGAACATTAAATGAAGGTGTTTGAAAAACTGTTGTAACTTGGTATTTATTGGTAATCTCGTTAACAAAGAATAGTTGAGAGTTGAATAGTATCGGATTGACAAGTTGAACCTCTAACACTATGAATAATATAATCGTGTCAATCTTAAAAAAGAAACTGTCGCTTTCTAAACCTTGTTATTCTATAAGACTTGAAAGTATTTCGTAATTTTAAAATCAGCCATTCGTTTAATGTAAACTTTTATGGGTAAGGATGTCAATTATTTTTTCTTTATGTTTTTAAAACGTTCTACTCCACGACATCCTGAGTGAAGTCTGTGCTTCTTAACCATTGACTCCTGACTCCTGACCCATGAGTAATGATTGTGTCAAGTAATTGTCGTTATCCGGACCTTGGGCGCGTCACAAACGAGATCAGCAGACAGATGCAGTTCCACACACGCTCCATTGAATAAATTTTGCTAATGATGTGACTAACGTTCAAGAAGATGCAATATAAGATAGCATCTGTTACATAGCACCTATTGAAAAATATTAAATATAGAGTTGTTTGTTATTCTTCATAACAAGACGATTAGATGTAACGTGTTATTGTTCAAAGTTATGATCTAAATGATTCTAAAACTATTGAAAACGAATATCACGTTGAAAGGGGGAGTTGCATTGACTGGCACCCTAGCTAGACCCGCCCAACTAAAAATAGGGCATATAGGGTCATGGCAAATGGCAACAGAGAAGACTACAGTTAACTTACTCGTATAACACTATGATTTAACTTAATTAATGACATTTTTATACCAAACTGTATTGAGTCAGGGAAACTGTCAGAGAATCTGAACATTTTTCGGAACAAAACGTTTTCCTACAAAAAATATTTAGGTAAATATTCCTAATTATGAGTAAAAAAATATTTTAAGCAAACATAATTATTTTTGTCTTACATGACTTTACAATAAAATAACGTAGATTTCTATCTGGCATCACATCACGGGTCAATAACGTAGCGATGAAATAATTCCGACGCAATCCATTGACTGATGCGAGGGGTCACGTAATGTCAAACGACACTACTGGAACTCACTGAATTATTGCACGACTTTTGTTTTTGTTGATCCCATAATGTTGAAGAGCAAACATTGACAATTGATGAACGAATTATGATTCAATTTCGCATAGTACTATGTAGGTACGTAATTGGGAACCTACTTTGTACTGAGTCGGTTCTTATGAAAGTAGTTCTTACCCAATTAGGTGCTTTTTATCAATGCATTGAGACGATGAATTGAGCAGACCATCACAATATAAAAAAAGAAACTAATAAAATATTCGTGTAGAATATTACCTGTTACTATTATCTAAACAAAAATTTTGAAATAAACAGTAGTTAGCTAATTTCCGTGACTAATGCAAACAACCAAATGAACTAGAATCTTAATTGTATATAAATAGGATTAACATTAATTTACCTCGTTACACAGGGAGAGAATGTGGTGATAAGATATTGTGTGTGGTCTAGGGTTATCTAGCACATGCCAATCTCTACAGAGATGACTAAGAACTTAATGAGTAGTGCATTAAAATGTATTATTACCAACGCACGAATATTTGACTACACGGGTCGACTTTACGTCCGAATTTAATGACCGCCTTTAATTCAAAATCTCTATCATTTTTAACAGAAATTCAATATCGACTGCACGGTTGGTGCTGTGGCTGGGCAACCGGCTGTCGCGCAATGTGTCGTGGGTTTGATTCCCGCACGGAACGACCCTTTGTGTGATCTATAAATTGTTGTTCCGGGTCTGGGTATCATATGTATGTGAACTTTTATGTTTGTAAACGCACCCACGACATAAAAGAAAATCCTAGAGTGTGGCAACGGATTAAAAAAAAAATAGAATATTGTCAAATATGGATCCAAAATCTATGAATTCAAATTAGTTATTAAATTGGACCGTTAAAAGGTACATGTATGAAGGTTTTAAAAATAAAAGAGTATCCCGTACGGGTTCTCAGCAACCGGAGCGTGCGCAAAGGTACTTAAAGTTGTTATGTTAATGAAAAAGGATTGCCAATCGTGCTAATTTCTGTAATTATTAAGGGGGTAAGATATAAAATCGTGGGCACATGGATTAAATTGCGGAAAAGAACTAGATTACGATTAATTTTAACTGTTGGTACCCGGAATAGGTGCTAAAAATATTACACAAACAGGTATTGATGAATTTAGATGTTCGTTTTACAAAAAGTATTAAGCATTAATATTTTTTGGCAACCAACTGAACGGAACTTCAATTGACCACAAACTGTTTTTCTCACATTTTAAGCTTTGTTTAGTAAGATTTGGTTTTTGTACAAATGGCAATGATTTCTGTTGTTGACGTCAGTTCGCTATCGATACTCAATGTCAACAAATAGTTCCGATAATAATATGTCTCAAGAATAACTGTTTTTATCAATTTACTGTACTTTAAAACGTTTATGATAATAGTTTTTTATAGGCATTCTTTACCACTGAGACGGTCACCTAACTTCATTGGTTAATTCATACAAACTACTGAAGCTTACAATAATTTGCAAAGAATATTCATTGCAATATTTACTGCAGAAATAAACAATAGGATAGTTGCCAGGGTATGAAAATAAAAAAACGAATTAGTCCGTCAGTCAGATAATGAAGAAATATTAGACACGTATTTTTTTTTTTTTCGTTTGAACTTATAATACTTAGATAAAATGGCGTTAAGTTTAGGAGTAAGTATTCGTCTTTATTAGTCGAAAGTATTTAATTTTATGAGAAAAAAAAATACATGTGTAATGTTTTAAATTAATCTACCAGACGGACATTAAAATAAAATCTAGGAAACTACACTATTGAAAATTTGGGAACATTAGTCTTGAAAACAACTTTTGGTATCGCATTTTCTGTATAAAAAATCAACAAAATGTAGAATATACATAAATCAAGGATAGCCAAATAAATAAAGGGTAATTTCTTGGTCGGGAACCCGCATAGTAAATGAATGCACCTCCTTTCTCCATAGATATGCCCATGTGTGCAAAGCTCCACGTGGTTATGGCAAAGTTCAAGTGAGCAATTAAGCCGAGCAATTAGAGATTCTAACCTTGTTATAAAAACAAGTCCAACGTTTCTGCACGCTTTTTCTCAGAAACTATTATTTGCATGAGACTGTGTACAAATATTTGCCTATGTTACATTCTTATGTGCTTTCTTTTTGTAATGTAGCTGCAATCTTATACTATTATATGAAGCGGAAGTTTGTTTTTTGTTTGTTTGTTTGAACGCGCTAATCTCCGTAACTACAAGTCTGATTTGAATAATTCTTTTTGTGTTGGATAGCGCATTTATCGAGGATGGCTATAGGTTATAAAACATCACGATACGATCAATAAAAGCTGAGCAGAGCGTGTGAAACCGCGTGGAAGTAGCTAGTGTTATATAAAACTAGCCCGTGGTTCGCCCATGTGTACTATTTCAGACTATAATCTATTCCTATTCCTAATTTCAACGCAATCCCTTCAGACGTTTTGACGTGATTTAGTAACACACACAGACTTTCGAATTTATAATATTTATAAGAAACAAGATTACATTTTCATGAAAAGGATTAATGATTGATTGATCTGACGACAAGATTAGCATTCTTCCTTCAAACACTACTGAAAAATTTTGTTATTTAGATTTAGTAAGACGATCTGGTAAACCATGGGTTCCTTAACCTAGTGATTTCTTCACGGCTATGGCTATATAAACCTCTATTGTTTTGATTTGGCTATACCAAAAATACGAGTACTTGTAGGAGCGAATTGAAATTCGTAATCTAGATACGATGGAAATCAGTTAAAAGATGTTTTGTTACATCAAGCAGAACAATGCTTTTTTTTTAAGGGGGGAAAATCTTCGAATGACTGGGATGTCAGAGATGAGGGAGTGCTAGACTCTTACTGACTAAAAACCACCCCATTCCTTCTCCTGCACGTCGAGCCGGAGCCCCGGTAACCTGTTAGGTTCTCCGCGACGAGAACAATTTTGCATATGACATTTCACAATATATGCCTGAATTCAAAGGAATGCCCAATTCAATGAGCCAAAAATTAAGAGTCCTTTATCAAACCCAGTACCTATGTAATCGCTTTCTCAGTAAGAAGAAACACCTTCTAATTCCAACATTTACGCAGTTCCGTGTTATAGCATCAAAGACAAAAGGAGCCATGTTTCTTATAACTAGAAATGACTGTATGGACGATTATCGAGAATTCTACGATACGGTATCTTATCGATTTGTGACACACAAATTGTTGATCGATGCCGCGCCAATGTGCCCAGCGTATCTAATAACTATATTGCGAATATTTACACAAGTTTTCACTTTTATTGGCAATAGTAATATTTTAGGGCGACGTCAGGTGTACGTTCTTGATACAAGTGTAATGGTTATTGGTGATATCAAATATCAAGTACCTATGAAACAGAAATATAGTTAGTAGTAAGTTGTCTGAACTAACTAACACAAATATTTGCTATATATTTGTGACTAATCGTAGTCTCATACAGAAATAACAAAACAATAAAAACTATTTAGTGCAAAGATATTTCATACAATTGAGAATTGATCACATTCCGATCTGTGTGTGTGGTGAATAATTGAGTGTTCAAATGAAATTCTTTTGATAAAATATTTAGGAATCTGCTTAGATGAATCAATTAGCAATGTTTTGATGTTTTGGAGCAAGAACACACGAAACATAATCAAATAATTACTAAAAACTACTCAAATAAATTTATTTGCGCGCTTCAAGGAGTCATCAGACCACTACGAGTGGGGCCCAATAGGGCTGATGCTGATACGGAGCCGCGGAGAACGTAAAAGGTTACCGGGGCTCTGGTTAGAAGTGCTGGAGTAGGAACGGGGTGGTTTTTAGTCAGTAAGTGTGGCACTCCCTCCCGTCTCACCGAAAGAAGCCATTCGGTGATTTTTCCCAACTTAAAAATATCCACAACCGGATACAAAGATAACAAAATACGAGAAACTATAAACAAGTTTGATCAAACGATAATAATTGTCATCAACAGGATTCGTCTTAATCCTTGTGATATCAGTGACTCAGTGGATATCCACGTAACAATAGCATAGCACCCACTGATTAATCCATCGGAAGTGGTGATAAGCAGAACAACAGGAAATACTACCTACTAATGAGTAACGTTGTTTGAGCATAGACTAGGAAGTCGTTACTTAGAAATGAGTTTACTCATAAATAGTTTTTATTCTTATCTAAGAGGATTTTTGGTTCAACGGCTTTTATGTTTTTTTGGGAAGAATATTTTAAGAATGGCATGGCTATCTAAATGTAATTTGGATTTATGTTGTTAAATAATTAGCTCGTATAATGGATAAAGTAGAATTTACGATGTTAATAAAAAAATTATGTCAATACTTTTCAAAATTACAAAGTGGTTTTAGACAAAATTTTCAGACTTTCAATTGCATTAACAATTGTTATAATCTTCTTCCTCAGGTATTGAACATAGTAATTCTGGTTCTTTACCGAACTGGTTACAATGGAGAGTTCTTGGGAGTGGGAGGTACGTGGAACCTCAACGAGGAGAAGAATCCCGATGCTGAGATCGTGGCCTCTGGAGTCATCGTGGGTTACCTCATATACACACTTGTGCAAATTGTCACATATCTCTTTGGTACCACTGAGCATAAGAGGTATGTTCATTTATTGTATAGTTTAATATTTTATTTTCAAAATACGTTTACGTTTACAGCACACGTATCCACAGTAGACTATGTAGGTACTTGTGTCGTTTTTAAATTGGCTACGACTTGAGTTACGATTATTCTTTTTTAATTTAAACAACAACAACAAACAACATGTAACGTAATTAACGCACCCCCTCAAACACCCCAATTAGAATATTATGTTATAATCATAATACGTATATGCATCTTTATCGGTCTTGTCATAAGGTTTATTTTTCTTTATTTTGTATTGAATGATAGCATTTGTATGAATACAAATAAAACTGCGATTTTAAAAGTCTTATTGCTTTGACTTACGGTCCATTTCGATTTGTTTTAACAATACAGGGTTAATATGACAATAATTTCCGTAGTTTTAATTATTTTTGGGATAAAAAATTACCTATACTAAAAATTATATAAATCGATTCAGTTAACGATTCTGAACAAACTATTTTCAGGATGTGCGTTATTTAAGTTACATGTTGTAGATAAAACATGTTCTTCCACTTCTTTAAGGTATTGTTGATTTCAAGGACCTATAATCGCCTTTGTCAAATGACGTCTTTCCTTTTCCATAGCACAAGAAAATAAGCTTAGTAAAATGGACTAGATTACTAAATCAACAACCAAGTGTTAATCATATCCAGACCCACCATATTTTCCCTATTTCTGCACGACGCTAATCACCACCTTAATATTTCCAGGGCATTGTCAGAGATAGTGATGAACTTTGTGGGTGTTTTCATGTGGATCGCCGTGGGTGCCGTTGCCCTGCACTACTGGGGAGGTTACCAGGGAGAGCACCAGTACCAGTTCGTGTTTGCTGAGAAACAGGTACACTGTATTTAGTTCTACTAGGTACCACTACATAAACAGATTAAGTCACGCCTTTACTTCTAGGGTTGGCGGACTAAATAACATAAGTAAAAAAATGCTTTTTGTTATATTATACCTTATTATTATTACCTGCCTGCCTCTTTGACCGAGTGGTCGCAAGTGCGACTGTCGAGCAAAGTATTACTGAGTTTTAAAAAAAATCTTAGTAGTAGCACGGAGTCTAAAAATGTTTCCGGTATATGGCAATAGGCTCACCCCCTATTACATGGGACTCATAACATACCTAAATAGTGAAAAGTGGGTGTTACTTTTGTGTGCATCTCTGCCTACCCTTTCGGAGATAAAAGAAATGTTATGATGATGACATTACCTATTAAAGCATATACGTCACAGTCATGACCGACTCTGACTTATATGCTTTAGTCCGTCGATTTTTTAATTTGTTTAAACGTTGTTGGTATAATAAGAACAAAAAACATGTTTTTGACTAATGTGGTTTAGTCTGCCGACCCTAGAATTATATTCAAGGGTTTGTGCATATTAATCGTAAATCTTAATGCCTACTTTCCACCAGTTTTGTTATGAACCAGATAATAAAGCCATTGTAGGAACATTTTTAACTCCAAGCTATTGGTGATTTTTTCTACGTGGTTGAAGACAATTCTAACTTATGAAGTGTCGACTGAGTATTCTCTTAATCCACCAGCGAATGGTTTTAGAAACTTTACCTAGACTAAGGACATAATTAATTACATTTCCAACGGTTATTATGACTTAATGCATAATTCTTAGCTGTTACGGTGTTAATAATTAGTTGATTTTAGAAAATGTAATTAAGTAAACTTTCTTAAATCGAAATGATTTCATGATTTCACGAGACAGTTTATGAAACTTGATGGATGGTGTCAAGGTCTTTTCATGATCAAATAAGTGTAAAGTCTTAACTTGTGGTAGTAACGACATGCATGTTGATGTATGGATCTTCTTTACTCTTCTACTTGAGTATTGGGTAGTTAATTAATATTGAGTACTTGGTATTCACTGTTTACCAGCAGACTACTAACCTAACGGATTATTTGTTACAACTCTTTGAGATGTTTTACTCATACTCTCCATACTCTCAATCTTAGATTTAGATGGGATTTATAATCCTGAAAATGAATTTTCGTTGAATTCTCGAGCACGGCTGAACTGATTTTCCTAATTTTGACCTTGAAATGTTCGTGGAAGTCCTGCGAAGGTTTAAAATGTGAGAAAAAAATTAGGTGGTACGAAGTATACTGAGTCAGATAGTTAAACATATTTTAAGTCTGGATTCGTCATCCAGCTTGCACAAACATGTTGGTCAATGCTAATTTTGTACTAGAAAGACCGGCTTTTTGTATGTCGTACTTGTATTATTATTGTGTGTCGTGACGTAATAAATGGTTTTTCTTACTTTTCTTTCTTTGCCAAACAGAGAGATATTTACAGGCTGGTTTATTTATACATTTTACTTTGTAAATTTCAGGTGGGTATTGCCGTCGGTGCCCTCTGCGTGATCAACGGAGCAGTGTACCTCTTAGACACAGCACTATCCGTCATACACTTCACCAAGGAGATGTAATTTAGCACTTACTATAAATAAACTTAATATTATTTCTAATTTTAAGTATTATTAAGTGTTTTACAAACGACCCTCTAATAACCGAGTAATAACAGTAAATAGTTACAATCTTTTTATATTTTGATCTAAGGATTTTAGTATAATAAGGATTTTGACAAACGAATACAATGATGATGTACCTACCTAAGTATTCCTACACGAATTAACTGCCGTACTCAATGACATTTAGGGCCCATTTTTCAATGTTCAAATCAGTTCATTGTTAACTGTATAATAAAATTGACATTTGATAGTTTTTAGTATGGAAGAATTGTCAAGTATTCAGAATTATTCCTCAGCTAAAATTTATCTTGTGTTGGAAAAATCGGCTCTAAGTGGTTACTTAAAATATCCTTAAGATAGGAAGTAGGATAAGGATAGTTTACTATCCTTAATAAGGATTTTGTTACGATAATGACTCTGAGTAAGGCGGTAAATTGACGAAGTAAGTGTTTAGGAATTCCGAAAGACAGTTTTATATGAGCGTACGATGACGCGCGTAGACGCTCGAATTGCAGCGCGTTAACGAACATTTTTAAAGTTAACTTTTACTATATAAAAACCATATCATAAAAATGCATTATTTAAATTATTCTGTATCAATATTATGCTCTTCTACAGAACATTTTCTACCGACTTATTATATTTCCCACCTTCTGTATAAGTTAGTTTATGTGTAGACCCTGTTTTATATGTCAGTTATGACTTTTTAAAGTCTAATTATTATTTTGAAATAAATAAATTAATGTGAAATATATCGTGTGTTCTTATTTACCCTGTTGATTTAGATCGGTTATGGTGTTATGGGAAATAAATAAATTTGGTATTGGCAAGTTCATCCCCAGTAAACGGAAGTTGGGGAATTCTGATGACGTAAATATGTAAATAGTAAACTACCATGGCATACATTGACTGCACGGTTGGTGCGGTGGCTGGGCAACCGGCTGCCGTACAACGTGTCGCGGGTTCGATTCCCGCACGGAACAACACTTTGTATGATCCACAAATTGTTGTTTCGGGTCTGGGTGTCATTGTGTATGTGAAATTGTATGTTTGTAAACGCACCCACGACACAGGAGACAATCCTAGTGTGGGGCAATATTTTTTAAAAAAGAAAAAATACTATTGTAATAGGAAAGTCAATTACAGTAACTGGCTTACAAGGAAATGTTTGCGATCTCCTTTTTTCGAAGTCTCTATATTTTTTACAGTTTTTTAAACTATTTTTTTAATGGGATAAGCCGGTAAACGTGCTGACGGATCACCTGATGGTAAGCAATCGGTATCGCCCAACACTAGAGCACCAGGTACGTTACAAGTGCATAACCGGCCTTTTGTGGATTGTTCGGGATTCAGGGATTTGGGAAGGGGCGTAATTGGGCCTCCGGTAACCTCATTCACACGACGAAATAAAACGCAGTATGTCCTACTTGTTTGTTGTTGATAGCAACTATAGTACCTATAGGCGTCGCGGAGAACCTAACGGGTAACCGGGGCTCCGGCTCGACGTGCACGAGAAGGAACGGGGTGGTTTTTAGTCAGTAAGAGTCTGACACTCCCTCCCGCCTCACCCAGGCGGGAGAAATCATTCAATGATTATCCCCCTTAAAAAAAAAGAAATTTCCTACTTGGCAAATGTAGATAAACAAATTTAAAGGCCTACTGATTATAGAAATACTTATGTAGCAGTTAATTTAAGTCGATTAACTTGTTTTTATCGAGGATTTGCGCACCTATTGTTGACCTATATAGTTTGTTAAAATATTCCCTCTAAGTGGTAATTCCTGGTACGCATGAACAATAAATATAATAATATAATGAACAGAGGAAAGTACCTATGTTTATAACCTTATTGGGCACCATTCATTTATGACGTACTTACGTGGATAGTCGATCTAACTAATAGTCCCATGGACTGAGAGAATTTGTTTACTATAAAACTACCTATTACGAATGTACATATAAAGTACGTCACAATTAGTTTTATCCTTATTCCGTATTTATTAGGGAAGTACAGTTCATACATTACCTAAGTACCTATGTAAACGTAGGCATTTTCCCACAAAACGAACAAATCGGAAAACAATAGTTTGTATTTTTTGTTACATTATTTTCTTCTTATTGAGTAATCACTACAAATGAGCAGAAAGTTCTTAAAATTTTAATTTATATGTTCCTGATTTTTTTTATTAAACGGGAATGAAAACAAATTGGTTTCAATTGGCACAAGACATTTGCTTAAAAGATTATCTAGGTTTGACAGGAAATATCAGGTGTACAAGCATGGGATAAGTGTCCGGGGTCAATGCAGTCAAATTAATGTCGGGGCTAAGGTCACAGGTTAAGTGTAATCAGCCTGTTGTTGGGAACTACTGACTCACTGGAGTGATGAACATTGGATTAGTCTCCTATTCCTCGCATAGCAAACTTCACGACAACTAGGCCGAAAGATACTGTTGCCTCCCGAGAAAATAAAAAGAAATTGACGCATAAATTCCAATTCGAAAATAGAACTGCGCGCGCTTTTTTGACATTACCTATATTTGTGTAATTTAGTTAGAATAATTACGTTTTTTATTTTATTAAAATAACAGTAATAAATAAAAACTAAAAGTGGATCATTTGTACGAGAATTGGGTTACAATAGCGCCTGATTCGAGAGAATTTTTGTGCGAAGTCGACGTAGAAACCGCCAAAATTGCGCCTTTAACGGATACCGTAAGTAAAACAGTGTTTTAAAACCATTTTATTATAAGTATTCACCGATGTCAAGAGCCATAGGTACTCACACTTAAATTACTTGCAGTTAACATATGAAACGTGTATACAAACATAAGCTAATTCGTACAAAACCGTGACCCCAAATCCAGCACATGAACATACAAGACAAATAAATCCCTTCGATATCCATTTCGACTTTTGTACAGACTCTACTTTTGCATATTTGGGTACAAGCGAGCAATGGAACTTGAACATAGTGTAATAGTCGTAAAGCACAGAGTAAAAATATAAGGCGTGTCATGCATTAGCCGCGTCAACGCACCCGGTGTATGGCGCATTGTTAAGTGCACACGAAATGAGTACAAACCCACTGCATAGTGATGCCAACAATATAATATTTAAGAAAAAATATTATCGGCACGAATGGGCCGGCTCGACCGGAGTGATACCACGGCCTCACAGAAAACCGACGTGAAGCAACACTTGCGTTGTGTTTCGTCGTGTGAGTGAGATTACCGGAGGCCCAATTACCCTCCCCTTCCCCAATCTCCCCAATTCCTGAATTCCCAACGATCCTCAAACTCCTAATCCCCAAATGGGCGGTAACGCACTTGTATTTCACTTGTATTGTAATGCCTCTGGTGTTCCAGGTGTCCATGGGCGACGCCGATTGCTTACCATCAGGTGATCCGTCTACTCGTTTACCGGCTGATGCTATAAAAAAATTGATTAATGATGATATATTGACTGCACAGTTGGCGCGGTGGTCGGGCAACTGACTGCCGCGCAACGTGTCGCCGGTTCGATTCCCGCACGGAATAACTCTTAGTGTGATCCACAGATGGTTGTTCTAGGTCTGGGTGTCATGTGTATGTGAACTTGCAGGTTTGTAAACGCACCCACGACACAGGAGAATATCATAGTGTGGTAATCATATTAAAAAAATATTGTACCTATGCGCAGTGCACAATCGAACTCGCTAACTACACTTCATAGGCCACAACTTTTTTGTTTTTATTGACATTCATAGCTTTATTAATTGTCAAAGGGGTTTACTAGTTACCTACGGATAATTAATTATTAATGTCTAATGCCTCATTTCTAATAATTAGTATCTAATCCAATAGCAAACCTCCGTTACACTCGCGCGATGAAGCATAATTGCTGCTACATATCTTTCCTAAACATCACTGATGAACATTTTTGAATGAGCAGCCTTTTGTTATTATATTTTACCATGAACTATGAAGAAAACAATGAAGCCTAGGTCCAACACTAGTGCTTACGGTGAAACGTGAGTTAATAAAACAATTAATACAACACATGCATACTAAGCTTATAAAGTTTAAAAGCTTTAAATTGAATAGCTAGTCGTAGGTAGAGGTCACAAACACGACAACGGAACAAAATAATTTGTTTCAGGACCTTTGTGAAGTAGGTACCATGTATAAGAACTTTTCAAATTAAAATTGTAGAAAATTTCTCCGTACATTTCTAATGATAAATAATTCGGCAAAGTCCACGGTGTCAAGCCAACCCAATTTCGTCAGTAACTGTACTGTCACTGTCAGTGACATTACAGAGGTAGCATAAAAAGTAGGTGTCGTTACCTAGTTTCTTATCTATTGTTTTGTGAGGCCCATAAACTTATGACGGAGATTATACACATTAACTGTGAATAATTACGTATCTATGTTATCTTGTAGAATTGCTAGAGCAAAAATCTAATACTCATTTCGTTGTACCTATAGTCTGTAAAATTTCTTTGTATTTTTTTTTAAGGGGGGAAAATCATCGAATGACTGCTCCCGCCTGGGTGAGGCGGGAGGGAGTATCAGACTCTTACTGACTAAAAACCACCCCGTTCCTTCTCCTGCACGTCGAATCGGAGCCCCGGTTACCCGTTAGGTTCTCCGCGACAAAATTTCTTTGTATACAGGCTGTACGCCTTACGGAACGCTTCCGAAAAACGCCGACGAGTGAAAAACAAGTCTTATTTTCATAATATTAAGGTATTAAATGTTTCTTTTACGCAATAATAGCTGTAATCAACTGCTCAAGGCTGATGTAGCACGAATAACAGAAAACAAAAAACGATTAAAACATTTTAACAGTTTCTTTTGTCAGCGTTTTGAAAGCATTTTCACATATGCAACCTTCGTGAAAAGTAGCATAGTCATACCTACCTATAAACTAACTAAACGAAACGCTACTGGAGAAAAACAGTAGCAACTGGCGACCGCAGTACAACCTACATAGTACCTTCCTTTCCTCAAAGGCAAAGGCAAAGATACGCCCAAGCTACGGTAGCTCATGACCTCATGAGTTGCACGATGTATCCCTATTCTGCATTATAAACTTTTCCTACTTTGCTTTCCTTCTTTTTTTTCTTACAAACCAGAGTACCAGCTTAGAAGTGATGCAGAGATCATTTACTGTACTGTTATGATTAAGTAACTGCGTTGGATATTCCTAAGCCCCTTCCACAGATACACGAAGGTAAATAAAATGCACAGTCATTGCAAATCAATATTTTATACTACCAACGTAAGCATTGTGAATTACAGTTGTAAATATTCCTGTAGGTATTTTTCTTATTCCATTCAATATTACAGGGAAACCCTACAATATAAATACCTAAGTATATTGTATATACATAATTTGTAGCAAAATCGAGGTGGCTGTGTTGGTCGAGTGGATGAAAATTCACGTTCAGGACTATTTAATTTTTATATTCAGTTCACCTACATTCTACATACATAGATTACGTATAATTAGATTAATATCATAAAAGGCGTACGCCTCCGCCCATTGTAATAAAAGCTCCACATTAATTTTTAATTCCCTAATTACCATATAATACCGCTGCAATAACCACGTGCATTGTGCAACGTTTAAGCTCCACTCATCGGTCGATCACGCGAGATCCTATGTAATGATGTTATGTATACCTAACAGCCAGTTTTACTACACTATTATGCGTAGCTATGGTTCCTTTATTGTTTACTTACCATCACGTGAGAACACTCACAAAGTATAACAGTACCTTCTTTCTCACAGTCGGTTGTCTCTGTCAGTATCAATGTAAGATGGGTAACGTAAACATACGCATGTATAATTAAGTGTGTATAAAATACAGACACAAATGAAAACTATCACTTGAAGTGTGTGAGTATAATGGTAAGGTCTTGTTGCCGGTATCACGGTTCAAAGTAGTGATCAGAACCTACCACTACAACTGCAGAATAAATTAATAAAAGTTTGTGTTCATATCAATGGTATCAGTGGAATGTACACAACATTCTTCTATACTATATTCTATAAATATATATTCTTGAATAATACATTATTTATAAATATAACAATACGTACATAATAATTTATTCTATCTATGTAACAGTAATCGATTGAATAAGAACTACATTTATCAACACTACGACATACTATTACAGTTTGGTATATATTTATACATACATTCTATAAGCATTGTATATATTAAAACAAGGCTTTATGTACTAATATATACTTAAATAATTATTTTAACTATTATCATAATAAATACTAATTTAAAACTAAATGTAAAAGATCCAACAGTCGAACTATTTATGTATAGTTTTGTTGGACATGGCGTTTAATTGTAAGGCATACCTTGTATCTTTTAAATAAATAAATAATTAGTTCGCGTATTTGAAATGAGTGCCTTAAAAATGAATAAGAATTCTCCCGTATCTACCAAGTGAGAGTTTTAAATAAGTTAATTTGTGTTAATATAGTTACTGCATCTACTTACATTATTCTACATGCTTTCAAACATATTTGAAATCACAAAGCCAACTAAACAGGTGCAATAGCGCCCACTTATGTCGAACATAACGTGTGTAAAGCTATCATAATCGTAACATAGTTACAACAAAATTACGCTAGTAAATTGTTAAGTAATCGTATATGCATTTTTTTTCCTTTCCTCCGTCGACTACTTGGTCCACCTGATCTCATAATAAGCACTTAGAGCTTCATTGATCAATCCAAACGGGATTCAACTACACATTAATTTAAAGTACAGTAACGTTACTTGCATTCTTTGAGGGTATTAGAACTCAACTTGTATTGAGTAATCACTATGTAGTGATATGTACATATATTTATTTTATATGTATGTAGTTCTAGTTGTAGTTGTAGTGTGTAGTATAAAACACTATCCGCCGCCTGTCTGTCCCTATGTATGCTTAGGTCTTTAAAACTAGACAATCGATTTTGATGCGTTTTTTTTTAGTAGATAGAGTGATTCTTAAGGAAGGTTTATATGTATAATACATGCATATTGCACCCGTGCGAATTCGAGGCGGGTCGCTAGTAAATAAATAAAGTAAATAAAGTCAGAAAGTAAGCTTTCAATTTAAAAATTATAAAAATGATAGACAGCTCAACGTTAACGATTTGCGAAAAACAAGCTGAATGCTTCAGTTCCAAGAATTTACAAACAACCTACCACAGTATTTAACAACAACTTCAATTCTAAAATACATTTGCACTTCAAAGTGAAGATATGCTCGTTACAATTCGGTCTCCTTCTTACAAAGGCAAGGAATGAAGTGTGAACACATAAAACCTTAACGCTTGCCGTACAAGGATATTGACATAACCTACAATTTTACACAAGTAATTACAAGCTGCGCCAACATTAGACACTAGGGATTTTGTATACACAATCTGGTAATAAAAGAGAACGTTCTGTGTCATTTGAACAAATAGGTCACTGTAACAACAGCCTGGGAACGCACCCCCTGTCGCGGGCACCTTGGCGCCAAAACTGGCGTCAACATGGCGCCCGACGCCGCCAAGTTGGCGGGATACTGCTCTATTTCATGTTCATGCATTTTCGGGATAATATAAATGTTACTTACTACAAGATTTCTCAGTTGAAATAAACAAATATGGGGTCGATCACATGAATAGGGGTTGTGTTTAGTCTGTTAATATCGATTCTAAACCAAAAC